TCAATCCAGCTGAATGTAATTTCTCCTGTGTGCTTTGCTAGCACCTAGCTTATGCTTCTTGAAAAGCCCTGATGAGATAGCCTTATTTACTGCCCTGCCATTGGGGACTGAGATTCACATATGCTTTCTTCCTATCCTTCCCCATATTAAATGTACATTGCTCAGGGTTAGAGTTAACTTTTTATAACCTTGAAAGCCTACTGCACTTGGCATAGAGTCTTATATATGGAGCTAGATAAAAAGAATAAGTTGAATGCAGTCAGACTAAAAAACATCATATTCAGAAGAATTCAAGATCAGATCAGTGGTACTTATATGCTTTCTTGACTCCAGAATTGATAAAAAGTTAAAGTAGGTGACTTTCTACAATACAAAATGTTCATTCTTCAAATTTCAAAAGAATTTCTGAACCCATAAATCAATGGAGAATTTGGCTTAATTCCCACAGGAAGAACAAAGCAGGATCATTTAAATGTTCCCTCTAGTCAGCAGTTTTGATGTGTGTGAATGGAGGTGAAGATGGAGAAGACTGCTGTCTTTTTTAAACCACCACCATAGAAAGATCAATTTACTTATGCAAATGGAAAACTAAAATTCAAACAAATTGAAATGCAATTTTGTAAGGTTTTCCTATTTTGGAAATACATTTTAATACAAAAGGAGACCTAATTTTGAAGTAATCATTCCCAAAGTCAAATAAATAAGATTTGAAATTGTTATGTGCCATTTCTAAATTAAGTACACCTTGGGCCGGGGATTTAGCTCAGTGGTACAGCCACCTGCCTTGCAAGTACAAAGTCCTGAGTTCAATTCCCCATACCAAAAAAAATTAATAATAACAAATAAATAAATAAATAAAGTAAAGTGCACCTAGACTACATACTGAAAATCAAAACACAACTGTGCACTTCAGTACCTGACAACATACTGAACATCTCTAGGAAGGGATGGCATGAGAATCAAAAACCAAGTTTGCGCCTAATAATTTAGACTTCTTCTATTTTAACAGGAGATCACTGGAATTCTTTTGATACAAAATAATCCAAAAAGTCAATTAACAATTTCAAAGTACATTATGTCGATCAATATGGCTTTTGTTGCATTGAAATAAGAAAGCAATTTATTGCGGAATCAGTGTTTTGTTATGCAAGAACCATATTCCAGATGATGTCCCATCATTCCAATCTGACAGCAATAACTGACAGGACACAAGGGCCACAGCCACACACTTAACTTTCCACAGTCACTTCTGACGTTAAGTGTTGCTGTAAGATTCTTAGAGACCCTCGTATGCAGCTTTTTGATCATTACAGACCCAGGGACTTTTAATCAATAAAAGAAAATGTTTTATGAGAAAAAGAGTAAGATTAGATTACTGTATACACGTGAAAAATAAAAATAGCTGTGGAACTATTTAAACAGAATATGGGAACATTTGCTGTTTTTCCATAAGCAAGCAACCAAAATTTATTCAGTTAAGAGCATGGAAATAACAAAGAAAGTTTTCTGAACAAAAGGAATAAACAGCAAGATAAAACGTTAAGTGGATGATTTATTTTGGACTAAATGTGTAACTCCCAACAGGGTTTTGTTCAAATAGGCCACTCTCTTTCAGAATAAAAATTTACATTACCATGTCTTGTATTTTCACCTTGCCTCAATGGCACCTTACTTATCTGAAAAATCAAAATATAATCCCAAAACAGGTGGGGAAAAAACACATGTTGATCCATAAATTGTAATATCATTTACCTACTGTAAATATGAACTCTGTATTCTACTTAAGTGTTATAAGACACTTAATTTATTGTTACTGGATAAGGAAAGTATCATTTGAGTAAATTATTTTCAAAAGCTGTAGCTTAATGTGTATTTATGAGCAAACATTTTGGTGTTCCAGAAGAAAAAATGGCTTTGAATGGGAGATTACAAATTGATTTTATGATTTGATTTGTCATTTAAAATGAACACTATCTTAAGAGTATAACCTCAGTGTGCATCCATTTAGATATAAATGTTTCTAGTGTCTCATTCTTTATGGCTGGGTAGTACTCCATTTTATAGAAAAACCACATCTTCTTTATTCAGTCTCCATTTGATGGGCATTTGGGTAGTTTCCAAGTTTTAGCTATTATGAACTGTGATGCTATAAACATGGGTGCACTTTTTCATTTTCTCATCTTTTTTCTTTTCCCTTATTTCTTTTTCCCTACCCTTCCCATTTCCACTACACTTTTAGCCTTTTTCTTCCTATTTCACGTTGTCAGTTTGTAAAGAGGGGAGAGGGGAGGAGGTAAAGGGAGGGAGGGGATATGGGGAAAAAATGAAAACCAAGATCTATCATGTAAAGGTACAAGAGATCCCAATGATAAATGTAACTGCACTGTATACTTAAAAAGTACCAATAAACTCAATGAAAAAAAACATGGGTGCACATATATTACTGTGGTGGAAGTGTGAAGGGGGTGAAGGGAGGGCAGGGGTATGGGGAAAAAACAAGAACCAAGACATGTCATGTAAAGATATACGATTCCAATGATAAATATAACTATTGTTCGCTTTAAATGTACCGATAAACTTAATGGGAAAAACAAAATAAAATAAACACTTTCCTAAGTCAAGCTTGAATCCTGTAGCACTTGAGTGTCTTTTCCATTTTCGGTGTAAGTTAGATAATTCAGATAGCTTTCTTACTATTCCTTTATATTGTGCTGAAGATCACCATCTGACCAATCACTTAACAAACATAAAAGTAACACAAATGACTGGTGTTCAATGAATTAATGTTGAACATAATCATTACACATTACAAATATTTAGAGCATAATACTGATCAGTGTAAAAGGACAAAAAAAGGAAGAACAAAATCACTGATACCTGCCTTCAATGAAATGTAATAACACAGTTAAGTCTTCAAATTCAATCCTTTTCTTTGAAATATGGCATGAAGGCACTCAACTCAGGCATTTATTAGACTATGCTTCCTGTTCTTGCTAACCTCTAGGTACTGCTTTATTTTTCTCAAACTACTTATCTTTATCTGACACACTCCATACTTCAGTTATCTGCTTAAACTCACTCTTTCCAGACCAAACCATTAGCTCCTAAAAGGCAGGAATGCTGTCCCTTTTGTTCAGTTCTGTAAGGCCAGAGCCTGGAATTGTACCTAGCAGTCAGTAAATATTTACCAAATCAATAAATGAGATGACTATTATTAGTTTGGTTTTCCAGATTTCTGACCTGTATTTCCCCTTTAAGATATGGCCACATTTTTTTTCCATCAAGCTTCCTCTCATGTACATAGTGGCCTACATGAAAATGTGATTACACACAGCTATGACACTGAGTGAATTATTAACTTTGCCAACCACATATTGGAAATCACAAAAGTGTATGTGGGCTGCTGTGAGAAATGGAAGAATTCACATTTACTACCTAGCAAAGTGCTTGACATGTAAGTGTTCAATGGATTTGAGCTGTCGTCATCTTTACCATTATGATTATGATGTTCTTTTGATATAAACAGCTCCTCAACTCTTGAAGCAACTCATAGTTAATGTGAATGGGTTCAGAATAGTCATTACAAAATATGCCACCGTGAAATACTTGGTATTGTAAGCTAAAGGAAACTGAGAAAAACCATAGAAGCAGGACTGGCATGCTGGGATCTCTCACTTCTTCCCTGAACAAGGTCATAACACCCTCATTAATATCTTTATCTCTGAAGACAAAAGATATTTAGAAAAATCTGAGGAAATAGGCCTTGCCAAGTCTCTCCCAATTTATTAACACTACATCACACTCTCATTTTCTAATCATCTCCCTGCATAATCAGACATAAAAAAATATATAGGTTTCCCAGAGTTTCCTTTGGGTTTTCATTTTTGAAGGCTCCCTTGTCATCTGATATGATTTTGTTTTGTTATTCTGTTTTTGCTATGGATGTAAGCCATGAACCTAGTAACATATTAGAAAAATATTAGCTCCCCACACAATTAAAAATAAAAGAAAGAAAAATACAAAAGACAATTTTTAAAAGTTCCCTTGTAGGTCTGTTTCAGAGAGCATTAATCCCATTTTTGCTCTCAGAAGACTCTGATACCTCTATAGGAATTACCACACTGCATTTCAATTAGTTGATTATGTTCAATCTTCTCCACTATACTGTGTGGCCTTTTAGGGTATGGAATCTCTGTACCCTGTAGGACACAAGCATTCTACAGAAGTTTGCCCAATGGATGAGGTACTATAAAGAAATGAGACTGATCCCATTATTTCTATTCAGGTCACACATGCATTTTCATTACTGTTTCAAAATTACATTTCTCAATATATGGTTCCAATCTGGAGAGCAACACAGAAGCAACGTTTTAGCACAGGAGAGTGCCACAGAACATAGATGAAAATAAAAGCAATGCACTGGAATTCAGGGGTGCTGCAAATATAATGGCTGAAAGACTGAAACAAAAACATTTTCTCAGTTGTTCTACTTCAAATGTAATGATCTAATTTATATCATCTGACTTTATAAGAGTATGACTACACAGGGAATACTTACAATGAAAACATCAGTGATACAGTTGAAAAACAGTTATTAGAAATGGGTATTAGAAAGAGGAGAGAGGTACACAGCTCACAGTTTAACTATATGTGATAACCAAACAACAACAGGTATTTAATATCACAGCAAAAAAGCAAAAGCAAAAACCTTTCAAGGAATGTAAAAAGTCATTCAAATGCGAAGTTAAATACTAACTGCTAAAAGCTGCCATTCAAATGATAAAAATTCAGAGTCCTTTACACCAATCAGAAAATAACAGGTTGATCTAGGGGGAGGGGCTCTACTGGTAGACTTCATTGTTGAATTAACTGCATAGTGGGTATTCCAAGTAAGAGGCTAGAGGAGAAATTCCAGTACAGTGACATATTTATATCCTAACACTATTACATGCACTCAGATCTTCCCTCTGAATGATGCTTCTCATTAGGAAAGTACTTACATTAGGCCTGAGTCTGGCTGCCAGATCATAATATTTTTCGGCTTCTTCATTGAGGCTAGCCTGTCTGTTAAAGAATAATAATAAAAAAAAACTATCATTTATTTTACAATAGGTAAATAAAACCATGCCATAAAATAATATGAACTTTAAAAATGTATAATCACATCAATTTAACAGTAAGTTGCCTATACAGAAGCCTGAGTGCTTGCAATAAATTTATATAAAGAATAGAAAGTGTCTCAACATAATTTATTCAGTAGGCATTAGTATTTCAAACTTACATATTAGCAATCAGAAAAGATCGTTTCCTTTTCTAAGCTAATCCATACAGTATATTGAGATTTTCCATTTTCAATATAAAACATTAACTTTTAAAATAAATTGTCAAAATGAATATGTAATTATGACTTTTTAATACAAATAATGAACATATGCAGGATTTTAAAATTCATTTCTATCGAAATGACATCACTTTTTCCTGGTTGAGGGGAAGCTTTCAGTTTTGTGCAGCAAAAAGAAAAAAACAAAAGGCCAATTTTTCTCCCTGGTCTCTGGGCACCAGAGTGGGCACATGACGCAATCTTAGATGAGTGACAGATGGAAGGCTGACCAGAATCTATTCGGTGGAAGAAATGGGTTATGTCCTGATCAGAATGGAGCTATGAAAGATTGCTAGAACATATTTCACTCATTGGCCACTGGGCTGCCTTCTTTCCTCCTGATTCAAGCCTTCCAACCCACAGTGAATTCTTTAGTTTCCACTGTCTTCAAAGACCAAAGTCAGGTTGCTTGCTTAGCACCAAACCGTGCGTGGCACAGTTGACCTATGCAAATAAGATGCACACTGACTTTTATAGATGCATTTGTTCACTGCCTATTCTTGCAACTCCGAGCAAAGACTTAGGTTAGGTTCAGCCTACTTGTTAGTAGAAGAAATCAAATGTCAGGGTGTGCTAAAGCCTAATGATTGAGGCTTCAAAAGACAGGAATTTTTAAATTATTATTATTCCATGCAATATAAGAGGACCTTCAAAGAGAATAGATACTAAGACTGAAGAAGCTCTCATAGGTTGGACTGAAATCTAATAACCATATCTGAAGGGCACAGAAGAAATGCTGTAGAAAAATGCTGACTTTATTCTCTGATTCTACACCACAACACTCATGTGACAATAACAGTAAACGGTGCCATGGCCTGTATACAGAACGGAGTAGTGTTTTCCTGAAACTGTGAGGCAGCAAGCTTCTGAGACCACATGACTGAGAGGTCAGGAATTAGGATGAGAAAAAAAAACAAAAAAAACTTTCTCAATTAGAAAACTACATCCAGGTTTTAAAAGTGAAGGTTAAGTAGCCATATCTGTGAAACTGAATTTGCACTTCTGTCAAGCCAAATAAAAACTATAAAGCCATACCCCATGCAACCATATAAATTACAGAAATAACTGAAGACAAACTCTCTGGAGAATAAGACATATTCTTCTAATTTTTAAAGGTGAAATAATTAGAAACACTGCTATTTTAAATGGAGGTTTTAAAGAAAGTAAAAACCCTTGACCTAAGGCTCTACTGGACCTATGACATGTTACAATGTGCCACTGCAATTTATACTCTCATAAATGTTAAAGTTCAATTTCAATATGTCAAGAAAAGTACTTTAGTCTGCTTTGGAACAGTAAAAATCCCCTCACTAGGGTATTTAATGAAGGTTCTCTCCACCAAATTACAGAATCACTTTGGTTCAGATTCATTCGGAAATCTGAACCAGAATTCATTAGGTCATGCCCTGAAAGGATTCCTCCAGAGGAAAATAAAAGGCACGGAGGTAGGAAATTAGAGTAACTTAATACTACAAAGAAGTAAGCTACTTTGAAGCAAGATCAACCAATAGATGTCTAGCATGAAAAGTACAGCTACTATTAATATTCATCTTTACTGACATTTAATTCATAAAGTAGATAAGGATCAAAAAAGAAACTGGGAAATAAATGAGATGAAATGCTTTTATCGAAATAATCAAAATTTGCAAAGGCTTCTCTACAAAACAACTGGTTACTAGTTTTAAAATCATTATATCCTTTGGTGATTTAATTCTGAAAGGAAATACTTAGTTTAGAAAATTTAATTTCTTAAGCTAGAAGTAGAATTGATTATATTCTAAAGAAATGAGAAAACGAGGATTACATCTGTCATACCGCTATGAAAATTAATTTTCATTCTAGGGCTTTGCTTTTATTATTAGTCTTTTCTGACTACTAATCAGAAGGCATTTATAACAGCATATGGAAAACTACAGGGAAAAGATTATGTCGATTCTATCCATATATTATAATGTTTATATATATCCTTGTTTTATTCTCCAGAGAAGAGGAAAAACTCCCAAGGAACTGTCCAATGTCCACTTTGTGGTGTATGCTATATTAAAAACTCTCCTCTTCAAAAATATCCTGGGAGTGCTCAAATAAATCTTAATTGCATAGATGACCAAATCATTAATCAACATATGAAAAGTGAGGACATCAGCAATATTCTGCCTGCTGCTTGGGGGATTCTACGAAATGTGGTCAACCACTTCCATGATGAGATTGTTAGGGACTGACTACAGGCTTTGGGATCTCAGACTATTAAGATATACATATTTACAGTAGTTGAAAACATGCACTTTTCCTGAATATTCATACCTTTTCTTCTTTCACTATTTCTTTTTTAAAATAGAAAATGTATAAATCCTCAATCAAGGCATGCCTTAATTTACTATTTACAACAATACTATGAAATCATTGCTATTATTAATCATATATGAAGATGATAAAAAGGAAAAAGATATTTTCTTACTTCTTGCAATATTCCACTTTTAGAAGATCATAATTAGATACCGAAGGGAACAGAAGTCTCCCACATGGCTAAGTGAAAGAGTCAGGAAGTGAGTTAGAGGAGAAATGGTTGGCTTTGTCATGATATTGCCCATGCCAGATGTTGACAGTCTTGATGTTTTGTCCACAGTACATTTCGCAAAGCCAGGAATGAATTAAATGGAGAGAAAGAAAAATCACTCACACTAGGAAGCTATGCTAGGTCCAAATGGGCAATTTTCCCCATGTTAACCTGCCATCCCGAGAGTCAACATTATATAACATTCATGAGAATAGAGCTATAATAACCATGCCAACAAGACGCCGAATGGAGATGCATATGGATTCTCCATTCTCATTACCAACTCATAGACTTCACCTATGTTAGGCCCTCTTTCTGCTCAAACTACCTCTGCCTCTCAGGGCCAAAAAAGAGTAAAGAAGTAGAAAAAGTCCTAGATGGTCTTTGTGATTGAACTGTGAAATAAACCTTAAATTCTCAAGAAATAACTTTAGTGAACTGAATGTATTCAAAAGATTTCCTGCCATCAATAAATAGATGTAGATACAAACCAAACAATAAAAAAGCCACAAAATTCATCATTTGTGTACTGCATAATTCATTTTTATACATAACTTACATATGGATACACAACTAATTTCTCTCTTAAGTATTATTTTATAATAGAAAAGTATATTCTAGAATACAGGTTTATGGCCCATTAGTCTTAAAAAAAAGACGTATAAAAGAAATGTGGGAATTAATTGTTATAAAGTAAACAAATTGATATACCCTATGAAATAGTTGGAGATTCTGATTTTTTAAAATTCACAATTGCTTGCATGTTTATGTACTCTGTGAGAATTATAAAACTAAAATTAAAATTACGTCTTTGAAAGTAGTTTTAATAACCTTGAGCAGTATTTTGAAGTAAGACTTTCTAATTCAACTTTGTGAATTATCAACTTTGAGTTAAAAATTACTTAAAATAAGACAGTAACCACTGTTTGATTCATACAAAATATATTTGGTTATTTTTAAGGATAGGTTTGTTTTTTGTTTTTTGTTTTAGACAGATGTTTGTTCAAGTAACACAAATGTAGAAGGAAAGAGTAGCTGGATTTTTCCTGGATTTTTGCCAATCACTAAAGAAAACAGCATTAATTTTTAATTCTACTTGATAAGCTGTATAGTAGGAATAGAAGTGAAACTGAAGTAGATGGCCTAAAAACATATGGGAAATCTTAAAATAGCAAAACCAGAGTCACACATATAGAAAAGCAAGGAACAGAAAAGACCCTTGCAATGACACTCCTATTAATAACATGTATATAACCTCTTACGTCTTAGATGAAAATTTCTCTGCTAAGATATCAAAGCTGGCTTCAAGACCCTTATGTACCTGTCTCAATACTAAAGGTAAAGGATAAAAATCCCAATGATGAATGTAACTATACTGTATACTTAAAAAGTACCAATAAAGTAGACACAAACAGCTTGTTAAAAAAAAGAAGTGAAGAGGAAATGGTAAGTAAAAGAAGAAAGAAAAGACTATGCTAGCAATGCAAATTTATGAAAGGTCCCACTGAATCAGTTTTATGATGTCAACTAAGAATTTGAGCTCATTCTTTCATGGCCTCAAGCCTCACAAATTGGAAGTGAGGCAAGACGGGGTGGGGAAGTAGTAGTGATCCGTTAATTGCAAAACTCTAGGACATTTGCCCAGAACAGTTCCCAAAGCCTGGCAAGTGGATTTCTCATGAGAAGAAAGGAAAGTGTTGGCCACGTCAACTGGTACATTATGTTCAAGGTGGAATCTATGAGGTAGCTGAAGTCAGAAAGGATGTAGAGGAAGTAGAATAAAACACACAGTAGGTTAGAACATCAGAAGCATCTCTTGGGGCTTGTCAAAATACAAAATGAGAACCAAGACCTGTCATGTAGAGGTACAGGATCCCAACAATGAATGTAACTGTGCTGTATCCCTAAAATGTACCAATAAACTCAATTAAAGCTGAAAAAAAAAAAACAAAATAGCAGCATTCATACCTTGCATTTTAACAAGGTTCCTGGATAATTCCATTGGTTGATTTAATTAATATTTTAAAAGGCACAAAGGGCTTTCTTAGGTAGAATTTTTAAATAGACACTCAAACTCATAGAGTATGGGCCCTCAAGATAAAGGCACTCTATAATTTGGAGCTGGAATAT